TTTCTGTGAATTTGAGTTAAAACTTGAAATATCAACAGAGTAGGTAGCGGCATAATTTTGAATTTGATAAAGAAAGGTCGGCAGTGTTCTAGATAACTAACCCCTGCTAAAATCCTGACAGCTTTCTTTTGTATTCTAAAAATTTGAAGTGCATTTGTTGAATTGCCCCATATAATTAAACCATAGTTTAGGTGAGAGTGGAATAAAGAAAAATATGTCATTTTTAATGTTTCAAAGTTGACAACCCTTGCTAGTTGGCGAATAACAAATAATGAACTTGATAGCTGTTTCTTAAGGTGTGAGATATGAGCAGACCAGTTGAGTCGATTATCTATGGTTATTCCCAATAGTTTAACAGTCTCTTTGTTAACTAGATCATTGTGTAAATTACTTGCAGATATAACCATATTTTGCGTTTTATCAGAGTTAAGTTTTAGTTTGTTTGCAGCAAACCATGAGCTAGATTTAGTAGAAACTTCCTCATGAGACATTTTTAAATCATCATTATTTTTTCCTGATATAACGTATGTCGTATCATCTGCGAATTGTATGGTTTTGTACGGAGATATGAATTTAGGCAGATCGTTGACATAAATAATAAACAAAAGAGGTCCTAAGACCGAACCTTGTGGGACTCCATGTTTTACGGATAGAAAATCAGAGAGATGACCTTTAGACACTACCGCCTGGTGTCTGCCACATAGATAAGAAGTTATAAGCTTAAGAGGGATACCTCTGATTCCATAGTAATTTAATTTGTGGAGCAAAATGTCGTGTGAAACGCAGTCAAAAGCCTTTGATAAGTCACAAAGAGAAATTGCTATGCGATTGCCGCGTTCAAGCCCCTCAATCACCTCGCTCACAACATTAAATACCGCGTTCGTAGTAGAACGAGCACTTCTAAATCCATATTGTGAGTTGCTAAAGTAATTATTTGACTCAAAATAGGAATAAAATTGTTGTTTGATAACCTTTTCAATCACTTTCCCAAAAGTAGAAACAATGCTTATGGGTCTGTAATTGTCAGTTTTTGAGGAATCACCTTTTTTGTAGATTGGTAGTACTTTTGAGTATTTTAGTACTTCTGGAAATACTCCAGTGGATAGAATTAAATTAATAAGATGAGTAAAAGGTGTTAAAACTATTTGGTAAGTTTCTTTTAAAATTTTGCTATTAATCTCGTGAACGTCCCTACAATTAGAATTACTAAGCGACTTTATTATTTGAGAGACCTCTTCTTCCAGAACGGGCCGAAAAAAAAATGACTTGCTCGGAGAAGGATAATTTCTATAATTGACGAGGACATCGACGTTAATAGTGGGAAGAGATGTAATTATATTCTCTGCAATTGTACTAAAAAATTGATTCATTTCGTCTGGAGGTAGATCAGGTTGTACCGAACTGGATTTAGTGTAGTTTCTTTCGAAATTTACTATTTTCCAGCAGTCTCTAGGTTTATTATTGGAATTAGTAATAAAATTACAGTAAGCTGACTTTTTAGCAATTTTTAATTGCCGATTATATTCAACTTTTTGTTGTTTATATACTTTGAACAAATCGGGATCCTTAGTGGCCTCTGCAATGTGTTTGATAAGAGAAATATTAGATCTGTTAGACCTTAATTCATTATTAAACCATTGCACAGGTGTTTTTTTCAGTCATTTGTCGTACTTTTTTTAGTGGAAAATACTGTAATATTAAATTGTTTTAAGTTTCGTTAAGAAAGACTGTCAAAGAATCTTCTTCTTCTAGTTCCATGACCGTTATCGATCGTTGGATATCATGTTGGCTACCATATTCGCTATCGTGACTTTATTGACAGCAGCTCTAAATAACGATGTAGTTGATTTTCCATACCATTTCCTTAGATTTTTCAGCCATGATGTTCTTCTTCTACCAGGACCACGATTACCTTGGATCTTTCCCTGAATGATCAGATGTAAAAGATCATATTTTTCAGGGTGTCTCATAATACGACCGAAGTATTCCAGCTTGCGTCAAAGAATCAGGATCATTATTAATATCGTAGAAAAAGTCTATATTTGTAATAGCTAGCGCACGTTTAAGCTTCTGTAAACCAGAAGAAGTAATAAACCGTTGAAATGTTTGATTAGTGTCAATAACTTTATGCTCTGAGTCAATAAATAAAAATTGAGCTCGATGGTCAGAGAAACAAGGTTCAAATACGCTCACTCTATAGATAGTTTCAGAAAAATTTGTCATAATGTTGTCAATGCAACTTCTGGACTGGGATGTGATTCTAGTATAATCGTTTACAGCTATTTTTAGACCAAAAAATGTTAATATGTTTTGAATATCAAAAAAATGGTCAGATTCAGTTTTAAAATTTATATTAAAATCTCCAAGTATGATTAATTTGTCTGCTTTACTAAGCAAGGATGTTATGACATTTTCAAAATTCACAAAAAATAAGTCAAAGTCACCCTTACCCGATCTGTATATAGTTAAAATATTGGTTTTTTATTGAAGGTACATAAATTGCACAAAACTCAGAACTTTGCTCTACATTATATTCATTTAAATTAAGAGAAGAATACATAAGATTTTCTTTTACATAAATTGCAACTCCGCCTTGTTTCTTTTTTACCCTACAAAAGAAATTAGCTAATGAGAATCCAGAGATGTTAATTAATTTTAAATTTTCTTCACTTAGCCAGCGCTCTGAAAAACATGTGACGTCATATAATTTTTGATCCGCAAGATAAGCGTTGATCATATCGACTTTATTTGAAATACACTGCAAATTATCAGGGGGGGATTCGTGGTTGGATACCAACATGATATCCAACGATCGATAACGGTGATGGAACTAGAAGAAGAAAAAAAAGAAGAATTTAATTTCACAGTTGCTATGAAACAGTATAAGTCAATGTCAAGTTTGAAATAATTTTTATAAATTTCAACAATATGATTAGGTGTACCAGTATTGTATGGAATTTTTTTTCTGTTGTGGATGCAACAAAACAAATTGCAAAATGTAACGTTTGTAAAATAATAATGTCTTATAAAACTACAGTTTCTAATCTAAAAAAAAAATTTATTACGGAAACATCCTAATATAGAAATATTTTCCAAAGAAAACTTTACTTATTTTTACTTAATTAATTACTTGCCGCGAATTAGAAATCTGTTTTGAACCCATCATGTTTAACAGAATATTTCTAACTAAGGCGACGATGTTGAAATCTAAATGAACGCTGCCGATGCGTTCTCTAATCTAATGTCTAAAACCTATTCCGATAAATCAGTTCAAGTTTCATTGTAAATGTCTTGACCAGTCGATGCGCAAAGTGTACTCAACTAATGCGGCGCCGTTGGAATCGAAACCGATGCCGTCAAGGTTTTGTCACTGGTGCGTGGAACAGACAGTTGAAACCTATTCCGAGGTACCCGCTCCAGTTCCATCATGCCATCTCTAACTAGAACGACTTATCTACAACAGAATTAGTCCAAAGTTACTTAAATTAATGCCATTTGATCCAGCAGGTTTCTGACCGAAAAGAAGCTGCACAGATCGGGTTCTTTAACTTACCCTATTTATTGAGGCAGGGGTTTAGAGAAAACTTAAAACTGCAGCTGCATTCAAAGACCTAACAGCGGCCTAGATACAGACTGGAGAGTTTGCATGATATACAAGCTCTTCCGTACAATATCCTATAAATCCACCACTCGAATAATTAACAGCATACTAGCCGACCGAACGATTCAAGTAGCTATGGGAACCGACATCAGCACCACAAGAGAACTGAAGAATAGACTTCCTCAGGGATCTGCCCTAACTCCTCTTCTCTTTAGCCTGTACATCGCTGGTATACCAGAAACCAGATGAAGGAAGTTTGGTTACGCCGATGACTGGGTTTTTTGCAACAAGGTGTAAGTCATATCAAGAAACCGAAGAAATCCTTACGGCGGACTTACACACAGTGGAAAAGTATTTCCGTAAATAAAGGCTCCAATCAAACGCTACCAAAACAGAGATTTCCAGTTTCCACCTAAATAACAAGCTTTTAGGAAGAAACTCAACATCCAATTTAAAAACACCACACTCGCCTAAAATAAAACACCAAAGTACCTTGGAGTAACTCTTGATAGAACCATATCATTCAAGGAACATCTATCAAACACAGCGGAAAAACTTAAATCTAGACTCGAAAATGGATGAAACAACAAAATAGCGGCTTACCCTGCATCACACAAAAACCACCAGGTTTTGACTTACCACGCAACACATGTACTATGCTGAACCGAATCAGAACCCAATACGGCAGATGCGGAGACATGCTTCACAAATGGGGTAAGCGACCATCCCCACTTTGTGACTGTCACAAACCATCTGTCACATCACAGAGCAGTGTCCCACAAGATCCTATCCTGGTAGGTCAGGATTCCTATTAACGACTTCAGAGTCGATAGACTATAGATAAGTAAGTTAGATGTTCGTTTGTAAACATATATGTACGATGATTTATACAAAATATATATAAATTTAAATGTAAATGTGTCAAGTGCCATAAGATAAATAAAAATAGGTCTAGAGCTGCCTTAGAGATAAAAACTTTTGAGGTGGTTAGCACTGGTATAGTCAGATATTATTTCGTCCCAAACGCACGTGACTAACTTTCGTCTATGATGAGGTTGTGTATAAAAAAGATGTAGGTTCAGGGCTGCCTTAGGTAAAAAATCCTTTTAAGGTTGTTAGCAGCGGTGTGTGTAAAGTTTTGGTAAGTCGAAACTAATTGCACTAGTATCTGTTTAATTTTATGTAGGTTTGAATTACACTATTTTAAAGATACAAACTTTGCTACTTTATTTTTTTTGTACTTTGGTTGGCTGGCAGCACAGTCCCTTTATTCTTAACTTAATTTATGATTTTTTTAAGTATTTCAATAGCAGTATCTATAATAATACTAGCCATATGTCTCCAAATCGTATTAGAACTTCCTTTTATATTTCAGGTTATTTTTTTTTGGCATCTTCACCCTTAACACACCAACTTTTTAATTTTTTATCATTAACCATTTGATTTTTTGTAGTCATTTTGTGAAATGTTGACTTTCTCTCTTTTTAAAAGAAGCATATCATCTCTAGTATCATTTTTAATTTCAAAACCTTATCCTCTGTATATTGCTTCATGTCCTCTTTGGGGTTCAACCACATGTGCATTCAAATTATCTTCTCCTATGACGCGTTATGAAAGAATTTCTATTTTGTCTTCTAATTGATCATAAAAAGCTTTTCTTTCATTTTCACCCAGCCAGACTTGAGAAGCATACAGACATAATACTCAACACTTCTTTATCAAGTTAAAGTTTTACTGATATTTCTTTCTACTGATCAGCAATGATACCAACTTCAACCTAGTGATACCTGTTCCTACATACCACAATTTATATCCTTTACCTAGTTCTTTTGCTGTTACCTATAAGACTTTCAATATTTCACGTCCAAATCCTGACTTTTTTAACCCATAATGTTGTTCTTCCCCTAAGATAGTCCTCAGCTGGAAATTCCAATGGAGGCTCAGTGTGTTTTCGTAGAGCTCCATAACAAATACAAATATTGTTTGTAGCAAGTCAAAAAAAATACATAGTGTATCAAAAAGTAATATAAAACGTAACTTAAATATATCAAAAACAACAACAGAATAAGATTTATGGCAAAGTTACGGTAAGCATGTCAGTGGATGTTTTGCAATGAGTTCTATATTCTTCTAAGCAGTAAAAACAATGTTTCAGAAGATATTTTTTTATAACTTTTTCTAAACTATTACAACAATTCTAAATTATTAAACAATGCTTATAGGTCTGTAATTGCCAGTTTTTGAGGAATCACATTTTTTTTGTAGATAGGTACTTTTCGGTATTGTAGTACTTCTGAAAATACAAACTTCATACAATAAAGTTGATAAAATTAAATTAATAAGATGAGTGAAAGGTGTTAAACCTATTTGGTAGGTTTCCTTTGAGATTTTGCTATTAATTTCCGTGAACGTCCCTACAAATAGAATTACTGAGAGACTTTATTATTTGAGGGGTCAATCTCTAGGTTTATTATTGGAATTAATAATAAAATCACAGTACGCTAACTTTTTAACAATTTGTAACTGCCGATTATATTCAAATTTTTGTTGTTTATATACTTTGAACAAATCGGGATCCTTAGTGGCATCTGCAATGTGTTTAATAAGAGGAAGATTGGAGCTGTGATACCTTAATTCATTAAACCATTACACGGGTGCTCTTTCAGCAGTTTGTCGTACTTTTTTGTGGAAAATGCTTTAATATTAAGTTCTTATAAGTTGCGGTAAGAAAACATTCCGTAACATTCATTTTACCTTAGGAGATGCTATCATTTTAGTATAATTATTATTAAATTGGAGACTGTCATTATTATGGCCTGAAAATACTTAGTAAATCTGAAAAAATCAGCATCATGTTCTGCATGATTTAGCGAACACACCACCAATTTAACAAAAGTGTGGTACTATCCTGCACCTGCTTCCATTTTTCAACAATATATTGTCGCCCATATCCCGCCACTAGGAGGCAAAAGTACTGTATAGGATACAAGACGGAAGATAAGTAGGTACTTACTAAATATTGCTAATGGCAATCAATGTATTGATGGTAAAGTTATTTTTATAAATATTTAATTCATGACCTTTTTCAATGGAACAGTTTTATAAAAGTTATAAGATTAAAAAGACATGTGGTCATGAACTGACTTTTCGGTTTCAGATCGTTTTTGTATTTAGCACTTAAAGTGACATTAAGTGATCGATCGCGGGGATAATAATTCAGTAAGTTGACAGATTAGAGAGGGACATAAAAGAATTTATAGCTTTTGTGCTCCCATTTAACTGTCCCTATTTATCAGTCGAATTATTATGAAGATAATGTGATATGTTTTATGAATAAATTTATATTTGGGATATTTCGAGAAACCTCAAACTATAATAATGATTGATGGTGGTTTTAACTGTAGCATCTCAAAGTTAAAATGTTCATGAGTTGTTAAAACATATTTTTTTTAATAACTATTTATATCTGAATGGTCTTTTGTAATTTTTACGTTGCAACTAATCTAACTCTTGATCTAGAATCAATTTAACTGCTTTCACATTCTAACAACTTTGATATTTTGGACGTATTTTAAACTATGAAAGATCGACATTGATTTGACAGTATTTTTAAGATTATTTCTAGGTATTAAATATATCTTGTTATATAGGAAATCAATTTTAATATAAGAATACACATCACGGTAGTATTGGCAGTAGAGAATTTTTCTGTTAATATAAATTGTTTATTATAATCATTAATATACTTGGCACAACATCGCTTTGTAAATCTTGTCCTTTTTCTGAACCATGTACCATTCCTCCTTCCAATTCTTCTTCTTGATTTTCTAATTTATTATTTCTAATACCCTTAGGTTTTCGTCAAATTGGTTCTTATATCTTGCTCTGTGTTGACATCTTCTACTGTCATCCAAACATAGTTATATATGGGGTTTGAAGGCTCTGTAGGTTTATTTTTCTTAAAACATGGTCTTTATAACTCATCCTGTTTATTTTAATAGATCTATTGGTATAATCCTCTGCTGTAGAGTTGGTTTAACTCGCAATTGTAAAGCTGGTAATACATTGCACATTGTATAGCTCCATATATACCTATTACTAATCTATGATGCCCAATTTAGTAAACACTTGTTATAACATTAAACTAAACTAAACACAAAAAAAATCATATAAAAGCTTCAATATTAAAACAACGATGGAGATCATATTTTAAGTGACTGCTCACAAAAGACCTGAATCTTTAAGGTTAATAAATCTTCAAGAAATTAAATAGAAAACGTACCTGTAATGCAGTTTTAAAATACTATTCGATAGATAGATAGATAGAACGTTTATTGACCACTTTACATAAAGTTTGAAGTCCGTATAAAAAATACAATAAAATATATAATAATGTAAACTTAAAATTAACTTGACCATATTGGCTAAAGTAATATACATATGTAAGTATTAGCAGAAGAATTAAAATTAAAAATTTAAGATAAAAAAAGATCTCTAACCAAAAAAAAAACAAACCTAAACTGTCACATAAAAAATCTTTGAAATATGGAAGTAACAAAAATGTACAAATAATTTAAGAATATTCCCGAATCGATGACTAAATAAACTAATACATAAAACTTAGTACATTTTAATAGCAATAATACAATGTGATAAGTAGATAGTAAATCGACAGTATTCTGACCAAACTGGGTACACGTTAAAAAGGTGTATTGAGGTATTCTGTCTTTGAGTAAAAACAATATGTTTGAAACTGCTTTCTGATCCTATTTTTAAACAGTGGTGGAGACAGAATTTTTATTTCGTTAGGCAGATAGTTATACAAGTGAATATCAATTGAATTCTTTGTGCTCTTTAATAGTCTGAATCGTTGTGACCTAATTAAATCCCTCGATCTTGTTAGATGATCATGTAATTGGGAGTTTATAGTAAACTTATTTTTATTATCGTGAATTTCCAACAGTGTTGCATACATATAAAGCGAAGGTAGAGTCATAATACCCATGTTCAAAAATAATGGTTTACAATGATCCCTTATATCCGCTCCAGCAAGTATCCTCACCACCTTCTTTTGTAATTTAAATATTCTGTCGGCATGACCAGAGTTGCCCCAAACAGCTATTCCATATTGTATATGACTATGAAACAATGCAAAGTAACACATTTTAAGGGTACTTTTAGGTACCAAATAAACCGTAGGCATTACAAATATTGTACTGGCGAGTTTAGAACTAAGTTGTCTATATGGATGCCCCAATCTAAGTTGTCATCATAAAAATCCCTAAGAATTTGATGCTATATCCAAAAATGTGTCTTCGATCTGAACTGAAAACTATATTTTCATTTTTATCCTCGTTTAGTTTTAGTTTATTATGTGTAAACCAGTTTTTAATTTTAAGCACATCGTTTCCTATTTTGTTATTTAAATTATATTGATTCTGGTCGGTACTAATAACGGTTGTATCATCTGCAAAACATATACACCTTAAGGGGTGGGTATAATGAAATATATCGTTGAGATATAGAAGAAAAAATGTAGGTCCTAATATAGACCCTTGGGGAACTCCATGTTCAACATTGTGAAAATTGGAGTAATTATTATTTAAAAAAACGGCCTGTTTTCTGTTTATTAAATACGATCGAAATAAATTAAGAGCATTTCCCCTTATGCCATATTTGTGCATTTTGTCTAAAAGTAAAGTGTGTGAGACACAATCAAAAGCCTTAGATAAGTCACATAATGTTAAAGACATGAAGTGACCTCTCTCTAGGCCATCAACTACTTCCCTTACAATTTCCTGAATTGATTGAGTAGTGCTGCATTTTTTTCTGAAACCATATTGATTACAATGAAGTATTTTGTACTTTTCTATGTACTCTATTAAACGGTTATTCAAAATACTTTCAAAAATTTTACCAAGAATGGGAATAATAGAAATAGGGCGATAATTTTCAATTTCTTCTGAAGATCCTTTTTTGAGTAGCGGTAATACTTTTGTTACTTTTAATACATCGGGATAGATTCCTTCGATAAGGCAAAGATTATAAAGTATGACCAGTTTATCAATAATAATATCCAGAGTTTATATCACTAATTGTTTGTTTAAGAAGTAAAAATCAGTGCATTTTGAGTTTTTCAAGCTGTATAATGTATTCCTAACTTCAGTATCACTAACAGGTGTTAAAAACAACGAGTGGCAGTATTATAAGGAGAGTCATCATATCCAAGAGCAGATATTAGATCAGATCATCATTCACTTGTCATCATTATAAGTAGCTCGACAATCCATTGTGGATCTTAGCCTGCTCACAAAAAGTCGCCACTCCTGTCAATTCCTGGCAACTTCCCTCCATTTTCTAACCCTTAGAATCTGTAGGTATTCTTCCACATCATCAATCTATCTCATTCGTGGTCGTCCTCTGCTTCCTTTGCTCTCTGGTTTTGAAAATGTTAGTC